GAAAGAAAGAAAGAAAGAAAGAAAGAAAGAAAGAGAGAGAGAGAGAGAGAGAAAGAAAGAAAGAAAGAAAGAAAGAGGGGGCGCCTGGGTGGCCTCAGTCAGTTAAGCGTCTGCCTTTGGCTCAGGTCATGATCTCTGGGATCAAGTCCCTCATGGCGCTCTCTGCTCAGCAAGCAGTCTGCTCTTCCCGCTCACTGTCCCTTTGTGCCCTCTCTCTCTCAAATAAACAAACAAGGGGCGCCTGGGTGGCTCAGTGGTTTAAAGCCTCTGCCTTCGGCTCAGGTCATGATCCCAGGGTCCTGGGATTGAGCCCCACATCAGGCTCTCTGCTCAGCGGGGAGCCTGCTTTCTCCTCTCTCCCTCTGCCTGCCTCTCTGCCTACTTGTGATCTCTGTCTGTCAAATGAATAAATAAAATCTTTAAAAAAATAAAATAAAAAAAATAAAATAAAATAAACAAACAAAAAAAAATATAGGAAGAAAAAGGAAGAACAGATTGATCACCTTCAGGCATAAGATAAGAAAATCCTAAGTCAGATACTATCACATCAAATCCAAGTGCACCAAAAGAAGCCAGCAGAACCCTTAAAGAAGAATGTACCCAAGGAATACAATGTTGGGTTAAGATAAAGAAAATGCCTTAATTCGATATACCTACTAGTATGTCAAATGGGAAAATCCTATCATCACCTCACTGAGAAACGAAAAGGCACTTGATCAAATCTAAAACCCATCCCTGGTCAAATCTAGAAACCAAGATCAGAAGGAAACTTGTCTATCGTTGTAGAAGTTACTTATTTCGAACCAAGGCCTACCCCTCTCTTCCATTAATCTGGGCACCCAGAGGCAGGCTGAATCGTGGTGGTGAAGTTAAACCCGCTGCCCCACCACCACTCCCCAACCCACAGCCAGTCCCATCCTTCCTCAACCTTGCCAGTGGCACAGGTATCCTTGATGAAACATATAATCCCTTCTCTTTCCTTCCTCAGAAAGGTCAACCATACATTTCTTTTGATCATGAGCAGAACATGTTGGTTTTTCTCTGAATGAAAATGACTCTATTCAGCCCTCATAGCCCTACGGGACCCACTTGTTTCTCCTAGTCATGTCAGAAGGAGAGAGGCCCACTGCATCAATGGAAAAAAGAAATGGAGAGCCACCAGCCATACAAAGAAGGGCCCAATGTATAATGGGAAAGCAGAGCCAAAAAGATTAAAAGGGAGAATGGAAGAGAAAATATAGTGAATTCCACTAAGTTCATAAAACAATTATTGTACCAAAGAAACAATTATTGTGCCCAAAAGACAAATAAGCCAGTCAAGAAATGGACAGAAGACATGAACAGGCATTTCCCCAAAGAAGATATACAAATGGCCACCAGAAATGTGAAAAAATGCTCCATATCACTTGTCATCATGGAAGTATAAATCAAAACCACAATGAGATACCACCTTACACCAGTTAGAATGGCTAAAATTAACAAGACAGGGAATAACAAATTTTGGCGAGGATGGGGAGAAGGGGGAACCCTCTGACACTGTTGGTGGAAATGCAAGCTGTTGCAGCCACTCCAGAAAACAGTATGGAGTTTCCTCGACAAGTTAAAAATAGAGCTACCCTACAACCCAGCAAATGCACTACTGGGTATTTACCCCAAAAGCACAGATGTAGTGAAAAGAAGGGGCAAATGCACCCCAATGTTCACAGCAGCAATGGCCACAATAGCCAAACTGTGAAAGAAGCCGAGATGTTCACTGACAGGTGAATGGATAAAGATGTGGTTCACATTATACAATGGAATATTACTCAGCCATCAGAAAGGTCAGATACCCAACTTTTGCCTCAACATGGATAGAACTGGAGGGGATTATGCTAAGTGAAATAAATCAGTCAGAGAAAGACAATTATCATATGGTTTCACTCATATATGGAACATAAGGAATAGCGCAGAGGATCACAGGGGAAGGGAGGGAAAACTGAATGGGAAGAAATGAGATGGAGACAAACCATGACAGACTCGTGATTCTGCGAAACAAACTGAGGGCTGCGGAAGGGGAGGGGAGTGAGGGGATGGGGTACCTGGGTGACGGGCATTAAGGAGGGCACATGATGGGAGGAGCACCGGGTGTTGCATGCAACTAATGAATCACTGAACACTACATCAGAAACTAATGATGTACTGTATGTTGGCTAACTGAATTTAAATTAAAAAACAAAATTTAAAAAATATAGGCATTAAAAATTTTTTTAAAGATCTGGGGGGAAGGGGGAGAACAGTTATTTCAAGACATCTTGAAGATGTAGCATTTCCCCAATTTGCTAATTTTAACTCCCTGCTTCTTCCCTGTCACTAGCAGTAAAAACAGAAATTAAGTGATAGGAAGCTGTACTGTGTCATCCTGAGGAACACTAGAGGGAACAAATACCATTTGGGATAAGAATGGCCACCAGGATAGAAGGGAGGAGAAACTGGCAGGACCAGAGATGCTGGGAATAAAGGAGGGTGGCTTAGGAGGCCCAGAGCAGGTAAATCAGATGCTTTCCCCTAGGCAGAGACCTCAATCCTGAACTCTGAGCCCCTGGTCCCAATCAGCCACCACACCCCCAGAGCTGGGGGACCCCAATCTCACCGCCAGGCCTGCACCAGGACCTCCTGGGTGCTAGACCTGGCCTTGGAACACATTTCTCAGGAGAAACATGCTGGGACCAACCACCATGCATAACCTCATTTCAGCAAGAAGAGCCCTTCCGGGGTCTAAACACTAACTAAGAAGGTCTCTGAATCCAACCCCCACTGGGAATTTGGGCCTGCCTGCCTCCGGCTTGCCCTGACAAATTCCTTTCTCATTTTAATGTGAATCCACTCACTTGATGACTTTTAAATAGGCACTTAAGCTTTTAAGGAGAAAAAAAAAAAAAAAAAAAGTGTGTGCAGAAAGAGTTTGAAAAGGCCAGTTCTACTTTGGGGTCAAATCTCCTCACCGGTCAGAAACCCAAATGTAAGGTGAGGGGGGTCAAACTGGGGATGAAAGTGACTTTCCCCTGCTCTCCTTACCAAGTACAAACTCGGGCCCTTGTGGGAATCATTTCCTTTGGTGCATAAAGTCATTTCCATAAAATCATAGAACTGCAGACCCTCAGAACTAGAAATGTCTTAAAATAATGTAGTCAAGTCAGCTCATCTTAGAGATGAAAATGAGAGTAAGTGACTTGAAACAAAGAAGCTCAGTCTCAAAGAAAAGAAGTCAGAAGGGATGCTGCCTAGCGAGTGCCCATATGGGGGAGGCCTGGCAATCCAGAAACCAGCCCAGACTCGGGGACACATAACCAGTGAATTCCAGCGTTCTGGCAAGGAGCTATAACAGGCCATCAATCGGGGAGGAATTTGAAGTCAGGTGTCTCACTTATGTCTCTGCTTCAATCCCAAGAAATTCACAAAGACCACTTTCTAATAACCAGGGCCTCATCAGTGAGATTTAGGAATTTGGATCATGGGTCTTGAGCTCAGGGCAATAAGGGCTCCTCCGTTCTGACCCAGACAGAAGGGGCTCTGGTCTTCTCCTCTGCCAGCCTAAAAGATCTGACGTAATACTGATGTGGCTCAAAGGATATGACAGACATCTGCTATGAAAACATACTGAACGACTGTAAAATATTTACTGTCCTGCCTTACTAACTGCTTCTATTACCATCGCATATTCACAGGCAACAGTAAAGTCGTTTTACTGCACCCAAAATGATTCCTCTAGAATGAGGCTGCTACTGGGACACATCCAAATTCAAGAAAGCCTGCACTAAGCGCGTACTCAATGCTAAGCTCTGGACTAGGGGACGCTAGCAAAATATGGAGACGGAGACGGTTGGGCCAAGCCTTGCTCCCGGGGAGCTCAGGGTGCCAGGCAGCAGGTAGCAGACAGGCACTCCCAGAACCCAGAGCCTAGGTCAGGTGCTGATGGACGCCACAGTGCCAGACTTCCTCCCTTTGGCATTACTCCTCTCTCCACCTAATAATATTGCAGAGTTTGGATTCGGCTGGATGAGTCACTCGGCACCGACAGCATTTTGAAAGGGTGGAAGCAATGAATAAAAAGCCAAACAGCTAGAGTTTACAAATGTCAAAGTGTCGTGTCTAGGTCATGGAAATAGGCGCTGGTGGCCCAGACAGTGGCCACATCTTTTCTTGGTTTGCACTGTGACTATTTCCAGCCCCACTGCAACGGCCTGCAGCCCTTAATATCTCTGAAGCCAGGGTTTACTGCAAACCATAATCTAAAAATATGTTTTCCTTCCGAAACTCATTGACTCACTGCTCTCTGTCATCAATCATATCCAGGCAGCTAGCATGTCCGGTTGATCATTCCTTCAAGATGTATGAAATGTTTCTCCTAATCCAGCCCTTCCTGCCTGCCCTCTCCTGCCCTACAGTGCCCAAGCCGGCCCTCTGCACTTGGTCTAGAGTTCTGCAGGGGCCTCCTGCCAGCATCCCTCCGGGCAGCTTCTCCCCATTTCCATCC